CTCAGCCCCTTCCCAGGTAGTGAACGTGCACCCACCTAGGAGGTGGTTGTCATAGTATGATGACTCTCTGAGGGTCATACTCAGCAGCGGGCAGCTCAGGCAGTTCTGCACTACCAGGACAGTCCTCACACCTACACAGAAGTTATGAGCCCCAGCAGGACCTGGCTGCCTGGAGAGCAGAGGCAGAGCCCAATCCCTCCTCTACAAAGACACTTTTCACATTTCAAAAGGCACAGCTGCAGAAGATGCATTTGTCTGCCCATATCCTGATAAGGATTTAGCATCTGCCCTATCTCCAGCACCTGTGGAAGAGAAGAGACCACTGAGTGTAGCCTCAGAGGACTGGCATCTCCACCAAGGCCCTCAGGCACTGGTCCACAAGTAGAGCCCCATTCCATCCAGGTTATGCTTGGAAACAGCCTCCCTGGGATGTGATTGCAAGACCTGCCAAGGTCCTGCAGAGGTGGCCTTCAACACTCTTGCACATACAAGGCAGATGACAGCGTATGCTGTGCATCACATCACCAGATCCAAGCAGAAGACAGCTTTGCCTTCTGAGTTTCTCTTCCACAGATGTGTCAAGTCATGCCCAAGAAAGAGGCTGCCAGGCAGCAAACAGGAATACAGGCAATCCTGACCAGGATTACCTACCAAAACTGGACTTCCCATGAGATTCTCATGGACAGACAAACTTATCCTTAGGGAAACACATGAGCTGAGCAGCAGCAGATCCTACAAGTGGCAATCCAGCATGAGGAAACAACTAAAGAGGACCAGGATCAAGCCAGTCTGGGCACTCCCACGTTGATGAGCCTCTGAATGATCTCCAAGGGTGCCCCATGCCCTCCACTAATAGGATGTCTCCCAGGGTCCTGCCTGGGTGATGCTTGCAGACCCCTAAGCCATGGCTTATCCATCTCATCTTGCACAGGGCACGGTTGTACAGAGGGAAGGAGAGGGGAGAAGCACCAACCCTCAGTCCCAACAGCAGAAAGGGGTTTGATCCCCAGCAAATGGCAAGCTAGCCCATGGCTCTCACCCAGCCCCGGACTCCCAGATAAGCCTGGGTGCAGGATGGGTGGAGAACGCGACAGCCCCACAGTAAACTTGTGGTTTCGATGAGGTGGACAGGGAGAGGCAGCGCCTGCCCATGCCAGGGTGAGGGGAACAGCTGCCTTCCTGCCTGTGAAGGAGGAAGCTGAGCCCTTTTGTCCCTCAAAGCCAAAGTCTGGGCTGGAAGTGACTTACCTGCCTGGTGTGCATTTCCTGAGACCCACAGGCAGGGGTGAAGGGAAAGTACACATCGCCAGAGTCCTCCCCACTGGTGCGAGAAGGCAGGTGGGCAGCCACGCATCCTCCGTCTCCACCACTGCCCCAAGGTACATGGTGCCCAAATATGAGAAGCGTGTGGTCCCATTACCTGTGCTTAGGGCCCCTGGTCACACAAAGCCATGGCTGTGGCTTGCTGATGCTGTGCAGAATGCTGGGATGAGCCTTGAAGGGGAAGGATGTGGAGGAAAAGCTACTGAAGAGGGAGGAGAACCTGGTCAAAGGAGCGGCTGCGGACCTTCATCATGGAGGGCAGCCTCCCAGTCCTCCTTTGAGTTGTCTTACATTGCTCACCAGCCAGCAAGAAGCAGACTCAGTGCCCATTTTTTTCTACTGGTACTGGAAAACAGTTGGCTTCCTAGCAGGGCTGTCCTGTTGCTGGTCATCCTGGCAGAGCACAGTTCCAGCACAGGGCATTGAGGACTCTGGGGGAACATGGGAGGCCAGTCTGAAGATGGCAAATACAAGACATCAACGTGTGAAGTGGTGCCTGGAGCAGCAAGTAGGGCAAAGGGAAGCAAAGAAGGGGTGGCCAGGCATTGCTGTAATCCCAGTCCAGGGTGGACAGAGCCAGGCTGCGTTGGAAAGTATTAGCTCCACGCCATGCAGGTGTGCCCCGGTCTGCACAGACCTAAAGACTGTATCAACACAGGGATTTTATCAAGAGCTAAACACTCATGATCAAACCATCTCTGTCCTCAGCTTTGTCAAGAAGTAAATGCAGGACAGCAAAAGGGAAAAAAGGGACAACCACAAAGAGCAGAGCAGGAGGACATGAGGTGTCAAAGCAGAACATCAACTGTCATGGGTGAAACCAAGGAGTAGGACAGGAATGCAGACATGAGTGGCAGGGACACACCCCGCGGTGCCCAGCAGTGCCTGGACAGGCTGCCCACAGCTCTACGCAACATGGCAGTGGTCTGCAGAAGGCAGGTTGAGGCCATGGCAGTGTATGAGTGCCACTCACCGGAGCGGAGGCTGGTCACTCCCTGGGGCAGGCACAGGAGAGCAGGGCACCGGTGAGAAGGTCTCAGGTGCCCACCCCGGGGAGGGGCCGCCAGCCGCAGGCACACAAGTCAGGCTGTAGTTGTTTGCTTTCCATTCTCCCAGTCTGACGATAACCACCCGCTCCACAGCCGAGGCCCCAGCTCACCATGCTGAAAGTCAGAAGGTATTTGATCACGTAAGTGGATTTATTTATTTATTTATTTATGCAAAATACTATTTCCTTAAGTAAAATTCTATTTGTGTCCTACCCAGAGGCCATGCCTTTGTAGGTCCCTCTGTGTTGAGAAACAGTTGGAGATTGAAGTGATGATGGGAATGGGCAGAGAGCTTCTGCTCCGCATAAATGCAGGGAGGTCTGGGTTGAGGGGACTCTCTCTTCTCGTGAAGCTCCAAGGGTGGTGCTGCTCCCCTGCACGTTAAGCAGGGAAATGGCATCTTTTGTAAGGCCTGATACCACAAAAGAAGAGGAATGGCAAAGACCTTGGTAGGGCAAGTAGGATGCTGAGCCCTGCTGTCTTATCCCAGGCAAGGGCTCACCTGCGGAGATGTAGAGCAGAAACGTGTCTCTCTGCAAGCCTTTTACATGGCCAACACAATGAATGCGTCCAGGCTGAGGTGTGCTCCTCCACAGCCTCTGTTTTGGAGAGGATGGATGAGGAGCAGAGAAGGGCAAGGCTTGACTGCGGCAGTGCCCTTTTGCTGGGGGAGAGCATTTCAAGGCAGGACAGCCCTTTCCACACACACCTGCAGCATCCAGGTCGTCACACACCCTGCTGCTAATGTACACATGTTGTTAATTGCCCAGCACATATCTAGCCACAGCAAATCTATAGTCATTTTTCTGCCACCTACCTGCCTGGTGAACTCAGCTTCAGCTCCACCTCCTGCCCAGCCAGCTGAGACCCTGCACGGCTCAGCCACTGACCTCTCCCAGCCAGTGCACTTATTTCTGTGTTGGACAGGGAAGGGACACGGGTCAGAGGGAAGCAGGACATCCTCTCTACTTCAAGTGGAGGGGAAAATTTGGAGGCAAATTCTTCAGCTACAGCCTGCCCACAGCCAGAGGCATTCCCAAGGCTCTGCAGTTTGCTCTCACACCCCAACCTGCCCTACGGGGCAGCATTGACTCCCACCAGCTCCAAGTGCATCCTGGACATCTTCCTGGTGCTTTGATTTCAAGTACTCAACTCTGCCTGCGGATACCCACACCATGATCTCATCCTGACACGTTCAACTGACAGAAGGCTATGAAGGAGTTACCCATGGAAAGCAGTTGAGCCTTGTGATGGCTTGTTGTCCAGATACAAATCCTGCAGCTGCTCCAACCTCCCAGACAAAGGCCTCACACACTACCTATGTCATTTTATCCTGGTTTCGCTTCCTTCAGTGCCACTTTGTGGAACCTTTAATGCAAACTTCAGTGCTGCCACAGCGATCCCTTTCTCAGCGCACCCTCCTTGATGCACATGTGTCCCACCAGAGCCACCCTGGAAGAAGGCTTCTGGCTTTATGCTGGCCTGATCAGGCCCAAACAGCCAGCACCACGGCGCATGTTCTCAACTGGTTGTTCAACCCACACAACAGCCATCTCAAAAGAGGCAGCGGGCTAGCAGCAGAAGGACCTGGGTCTTTCACAAGTTCTTTACAGGTTGAAAGGGACCTCTGTGGAAACAAGTCTAGAGTTATATCTGCACAAAATACAGATATCAGAGTAGCAGAGGGAGCTGCCTACCTCAGCAGCGCTTGCCAGGGAACTGTTGCATCATTCTGCCTTTGCTACTGGGTGCTAGTGCAGATCTCCCCAAAGACAGAGTTCTCTTCTTGCCACTTTTCTTAGGCTGGCCAGGCAGATGAACTCATCATCAACTGAGCATTGAGTGACAGTGAGAGGGGGATCAAGTCTCCAACACGATCTGCCCATCCTGGAGCAACTCCTCCTTCACTGTCTTCCCCCTCTTTGGTCTCTCTGACATCAAGTCATGCACATGTTTGCAACCACTTGTCTTTCATCTGAGCTTGGCAGTCTGCTCCTCCAGGGGAAAATAAGCATGGGTACCTCCAAGTGGCCTGAACGTCCCTGAGCATAACCCTAAACCCTGCAGTGCAGTGCTGATGACTTGAAGAAACCACACTGCTGTTGTAGACAAGGCTAAAACCAGACTAAAAGCCAGGTCACACATTGGAGAAGCCCAGCCGGGGTCCCCATGGTAGTGTCACAGCTGCAGCTGGAGCCTCCAATGGCAAGTGTCGAGAGAAGGGGAGAGCAGGGAAAACAGTTTTATCATCTTTGCTTATAAAGACAGGGTCCTGATATTTCGAGGCCAGGCAGGGCAGGGGTGGCTGCTCCTGCTGCTGAGGTGGGAGCTCCGGCTGTGCCAGTGAGGTGTTCCTGAGCAGCCGAGGGACTTTGCAGTTATCGCTGTTTACCTTTAGGTGCGATATTTGTGTCCCAGCTGGAAATTTCCACTAGGCTACACTGCTTGAGCACAGCCACTGAGGTTTATTGGTTATCGCTGCCTCTGCACCTCTTCCACACATGAAAATGTGACCTTACCTTAATAAAAAAACCAAAAATTAAAAAACTGTCAAGGTCTCTCTCCACCCTGCCTCTCACAGGCATTTCTTCTACCTACTAATGGTCTGAAATGTCTGCTTCCTTGCAGGAAGGTGAAAGCAGTATACAGGTGCCAGCCAGGTCGGCTCTGGGTCGGCTTCAGCCTCCTCATCTTCCTCTTGGTCATGCTTCAAGTCGTGGAGAAGATGCAGCCTGCCAAGTAGGTGCCAAGCGGGATTGCAAACCTGCACCTCATCCTCCAGTCTTTCGCTGACCACTGAGGTGGGCTCAGAACTGCCCTTCTCAAAACCACCCAACAGCATCTTCTTCAGACAGGGAGGAAGATCCAGGTGGGAGAGGACCCCTCAGGGCTCTCTCGTCCAATCCCTGTACTGGCCAGAGCCAGTTCTGGGTCCAGACCAGGCTGCTCTGGGCTTTGTCCTGGCTGCCCTCAAAACCCTTGAGCACCCTCCCAGTCTGGGGTCATCTGCAAACTTTCCTCAGCTTCTCCAAGGCACCTGCACTTCTCTCTCCCTACATCTTCTTGCTTTGTCCCTTTCCACCAGCAGGGCAGGGGCATTAGGGCATTGCTGCCGACTTGTCTTTTGCTTCTCACTCCCAGGTCAGTGGTCAAGTCCTACACCCACCAGTAGTGCTACCCACTCCAAAAAAGAGGGGGAACATGCTTTGGGGTGTCTGCAGGGGGGATGCGTTGGGCTGCAGAGGAGCTGTCCTCTTTGCATGCTCCTTCTGTCCTCTGTGTATTTACAGCTGAGTCTCCCATCCTCCCTGTTACAGAAACTGCCGGTGTGAGCTGGAGCATGCCCTGCAGCAGACCACAGACCACAGCCAGAAGAGGCTGAGCTATGGCCTCCAGTCCCCCGACCTGCTGTGGGAGGACGATCCCCAGCACTGGCAGAGGAACGCCGTGCCCGACCCCACTTTGAGCGAGACCACAGAGGATGTTTTTCAGATGCATCTGTACTTCAACCAGGCAACCCCACTGGAAAGCAGCCCAGGCAGCCAAGAGGAGCACTGGACGTGGCAGCCTGCAGAGAGCAACAGGAAGGTGCAAGCCAATCCTTCATCCACAGGGCTGAAACCCCAGCTTCCTAGCCTGAGCAAAGCAGCCAGAGAGGGTCCTTCTCCAAGTCTTCCTGGGAAGGTCTCCACAGTCTGGGGAGATGCTGAGGCCGTCACCAGCAAATTCATAATCTTTGCACACAGGATGACTGCTGAGGAGCACAAGAGAACGTCACCACCAGAAACAACGCAGGTCGCGGCACAGAGCCGGTCTCAGCCTCAAGCCATGGGTTCCCCACACCATCAGTTGGGCAACTCACTCAAACATGCTGTACCTAATTCAGCTCCACCTCCACAGGCAGAGGACTTTTACAAGGCAGACCCGGAGAGGGGATATTTCCCAAGCTGGACAGAAGTCTCAAAGGTTGATGAGGTGACTCTTGGAGAAGGCCAGCAGGCCAGAGGGGTCTCCTCTCAAGGGCAGACCTGTAAGCCCAAGACTGACATTGTTTTCCTGAAAGTCCACAAGAGCGCCAGCAGCACTGTCATGAATATTCTGTTCCGCTTCGGCGAGACACACAACCTCACCTTTGCCTTCCCCATCGGGGGCGGCAACCAGCTCTTCTACCCACGCCCCTTCTTGGCGAAGTTTGTGCGGGGCTTCTCCCCCAGAAACCCTCAGCATTTCAACATCCTCTGTCACCACATGCGATTCCTGCAGGCAGAGGTACAGGGAAAGTCACGATTGATTGGGAGGGGCAAAGGGGCAGAGTGAGAGAGAGGTTTGTGGAGAGTAAGTTGGGAAACCCATAGAACTTGTAAACTCTCCAGGGATGAAGGTGGATGAAGACAGGATTGACCCCAGGTGCCTTGCATGTTGTGGGCATCTCCCAAGAGCTTCTGTAAACAAGGTTTGATGAATCATTGTGCTGTCAACTAAGACAAGCCAGTGGACAGCATCTGTAGCAGTCAGCAACCATCATCTTGTTCTTGTCTGGTGGGCCCTTGGAAGATGTCTTGCTCCCTGGGCAGGCCCAGAGGGTACCAACTGCAAGAGGACAACACCTAAAGCACATCAGTTCAGGTCAGTCGTGTCCAGCATCCACCCTTCTGGATGCCATTGCGGACACGCAGATATGGGGAAAGGCAAGGAAGCAGGACATATCTCAAGTCCAGACAGGTCACCCAGCTGTGTTAGTGGGTAGTAGAGAGCTTTGGTCACTGCTCTCCCTGTGTATCTCTTCTGAGGCTCTTCCACAGCTGACACAAACATTCCTTTGATGAGCTGCACCCTGAAACCCTCTCCAGCACCTCCCATCCTGGCAAGCGTTTCTGCTTTCCAGCAGAGCACAGGATTGTGCAGGAACAGGTCCCTTCTCCCTGCCCCAGCTTTAAAACTTCCTTTTTCTCCTCCACAGGTGCAGAAAGTGGTGTCCAGCTCAGCCGTGTACTTCTCCATCCTGAGGAACCCCGTGCAGCTCATGGAGTCCTCCTTCACATACTACAAGGGCACATCGGCTTTCTCCCGCGCCCACAGCCTGGAGGAGTTCCTCAGCCAGCCCTACCACTACTACAACCCCACTGACGGTGACAGCCACTACGCCAGGAATCTCATGACGTTTGACTTTGGCTTCAACCCCGATGGAGATGTCTCCACCGAGCGTGTACAACTCATGCTGAAGGCCATCGAGGCATCCTTTGACCTGCTCCTCATCTCTGAGTACTTTGACGAGTCCATGGTGCTGCTGAAGGAGGTGCTGTGCTGGGACCTGGACAGCGTTGTCTCCTTCCCACTCAACAGCAGAGACAGCAGCACCAAGTCCCCCCTCTCGGACACCATCATGAAGAAGATAAAGGAGTGGAACAGGCTGGACTGGGAAATCTACGCCCACTTCAACAGGACCTTCTGGGAAAGGATCGACCGAGACATCGGCAGGGAGCGCATGCAGCAGGAAGTCAAGGCGCTTCGGGCAAGGCAGGCAGAGCTGGCGAGGACCTGCCTGCAAGGGACAGGCAGCGTGGCACCCAAGGACATCAAGGACTCTTCCCTGCGGCCGCTGCAGCACGGCAGCGCAAAGATCCTGGGCTATAACCTCAAGCAGGGCTTGGACAAGGAGACGGAGCTCATGTGCCGGCGGCTGGTGACCCCCGAGCTGCAGTACAGCAGCGCGCTCTACAAGAAGCAGTTTCCCCAGAAGCCACCCCAGACCCCCCAGCCCGCTCCCTCTCGGCAGGGTCATGCCCTGCGCCACAGGCTGGAGGACACCCAAAACTGAGCCACCGTGTCCCCTCCAGGCACTCTTCTCCAGCTGCCTTTTGTTGAGGACAGCGAGGCACTAGCCTCCAGGGCTCGGGGGCTGCTTCCGCCCCGGGGTGGGGGCAGGCAGGCTGGGACGCTGCCACCCACCAGAGACCCTGGCCACCTCTCTCCATGCAGGACAGTGTGGAAACTCTCGGGTGCTACACACTGCCATGGAGCAGGATGGGCTGCAACAGGGGGTCAAGACTCAACAAGACTTGGCACATCCAGGGTGGGTCCTGAGCAAACAGGAGAAACACCCAAAGTGAGGAGCAGAACCAGGAGGGGACCCCAAGTCCCCAGTCCTGCACTGAAGACCACAACAGCACAAGGCCAAGTTGTAAATCAGAGCTGCAGAGCTCGATTTACAACTTGGGAAGGAGTCTGTCTGTCCAGCTGTAGCTTGCCTCCGCTGCTCCTTAATGTTACTGTGCTGGAAAAGCAGCTTCTTAATTAAAAATAACAATATTCACTGACACTTCTATTAAGTTCTCCTTAATTTACACCAGTCTGCCCAGCAGACGATCTCCCCAGCAGCCCAAGAAACAGACCTCAAACATCTGGAAATGCCCTGGGAAAAAAGAAATAAATAAAATAAAATTAAATTAAATTAAAAAACAAATAAACAAACAAAACCAACCAAAAACTAACAAGGAAAGAAAAAAAAAATCAGCATTTTGTTGCCCTGACTGTGGTTACATGCTGCCTTCAGATGCTGCACTTGTATGCTGCATTTATAGGACCAGGATCCTACCTTGGAGCTGATGCCGTCATCTTGGTGTCAGACTGCAAGTTAAATACCAATGCAGCCAGGAGATGTCTCGTGAGTGTCTCTGCAGCGTCCCCACCCACCCCTTGGAGCGACCAGAGGAATATTCTATGCTCTGCCTGGGGAAAACGACCACCAGAATGGGTGGTGGGCTGGTCAGCCTTACTTTTCACCTCCTACATTCATCCTCAAATCAAAAGCAGAGCCAGTTTGGATAAACAGAGGCCCCATCTCAGGATTTTCAGCACAATTTCCCAACTAAAAGAGGTTCAGAAAAAAACTGCCAGGGGTATCTGAGTATCCCAACATCCCTTGGCCAGTCATGCAGAGCCTCAGAAGTTTGGGTGCCCACTCAAAGGTGCCCAGTTTGGGCAGTATAAAGCCAGGCTGTGTTCCCACCACCCTGCCCCAGAAGGGACTGGGTAGCACTGAGCATGATGCAAGGGGCATCATTTTTGGGGCATTTGCTGTGTGGGTTTTTGAGGTGTTATTTGTTCCATAGTGTTTCATCTCTAAGGCATCTCAGCATCTCGCTGCATTGATCCCTTCCCTTGTTCCTCCTGCTGGGACGTGATGTGGGCTCGTGGTTTGCAGAGGTCCAGCTCCCCTCTGGGTTCCCTGGTGGTCTCTGGTTCACCTCAGAGGGAAATCCCACACAGGAGGAAGGGCGAAGGGCAGCATCCCCAGGGTACCCCCAAAAACCCACAGGTGACATGGGAGGGTGCAGGCAGCACCACATGCCTGGGTATCAAACCCACATCTGATGCCTTCCCTCCAGATTTTAATCGAGTGCCTCTGTAAGCAGGAGCAGATCTTGCCTGCTCAAGCAGTCCTGCAAAATTGACTATTTTCAGCGAAATGCAAGACCTGGCCATTTTTGGCAAGGGCAGTGGAGACCTCTGTCCAGGCATGCCTGGTGGCCCTGCCCCAGGGATGCTGCACGTGGGATTGCCCCAGCCCCTGCTCTTCCCTGTGAGGACACCCTTGGGGTGCCCCAGCTCCTCCACTGCCTGGGGGCAGCCCCGTTTACCTAAGCAGGCATTTCCACCCAGATTACCCCCCTTCCAGAGCAAGCAGCAAGGCAGGACAGAGTCAGTTCAGACATCTCCATGGCATCTCCCATTGTTGGGGATCAGATGGGATGATCTCCACCGACAGAGCTCACAGGAATGACACTGCTCACCTAAATGTCAATCACAACATTTATTTTTTATTATTGTCACAAACTGTAATTTTGTCTTTAGGAACAGACAGAGAAGAGCCCGGGGATGCACTTCCTCACCCATGCCAGCCGCTTGGGTCTCATTTTTCAATCACAGTCACTTTGTGCACCATTTCTTGATACCTTACAGCACACAAACCCCAGGCTAAGCACTGCGTCCACAGCAGAGCATGAACTCCCTTGCCCTGGAGCATGTTTAATTCCTCTCCAAGAGCTGCCATGTTCAGCCTGTGCCATTCAAGGACCTCAGTTTAACTCAAAGAACACCTATTTTTCACCAATAACTATTTAGTAAGTCAAAAGGTCAAAGCTGGCTTCCTCCTCATCCCGAGTTTCCAAGTTGGTTACTGGTTTACGCTTTGTTTTTACGGCCGCAAGAGACCCAGTCAGATTATTTCAAGCAATACACGATGCAATAACCTGGGGGAGTTGCTCAAGCCTACCACGTAATGGACCCAACTTTCTGTAAGCTTCCTGGCAATACAAGACAACATGCAATTTATGCAAAAATATTAAGGGTTTTTTCCCCCACCGAGCCAGCAATGCAGGCTTGAAACGTTTTGGACTCTCCAGGAAGAGTTTCAAAGCTATTCCCAGAGGAACTCAGGGTTTCAGACATCCTGCAAGGCCGGCTTGGCCCATACCCTTGCCATGCTTTAAAAAAAAAAACCAAAAAACAACAAAAAAACCCCCAAAACATAAAATCTCACCCTGTGGTAGGGACCGAATGGGCAGGATGGACGCTGGGTGGGACAAACAGCAAAATCCTCCGTGCTGGGAAACCCACTCCCAGGAGAGGGGCTGCAGGGACCCCCTCGGCCCCCATCTGCGGCTCAGGCACGGGGCTCAGGGTGGCTCTTCTCCCCTTTCCTCTTCCGCCACAGCTCATCAGCCTCTCTGTGCACTGCCACCCTCACCTTGGGCATCTTGTATTTGCTTTTCTGGCTGTAAAAGAGGTTTTTCTGGAAGAGTCGCGGGATGTTGCCTTGGTAGAGCAAGAGGGCAGCGAGCATCCCTGAAACGAGAGCGTGGACCCTTTGTGTGTGCTGCATTGAGCACCTCCAGCTTCCCCACAGCTCCACAGGGATTTTCAGGCCCTTGCCACAACCTTCATCATGACCAAAAAGTTGCTCAGCACCACTGAAGCCCCCACTGACAGCATCTGAAAGACCTCTGCTGCGTTACTTTAAGAATGTAACCATTGCATCCTTAATATCATACCGTGGCTTGTTTTGACCCCAAGAGGCCACAGATTGTGTAGAAATTGGATTTTAAAAAACAGAGAGCAAAGGGATGACTCAAGTGACAGGGAAAGGGGAGAGAAAAGGACACTTGTCACTAGTAGGACCCATGCTCAGCCCTTTGCCAGGAACAGTTTGTGTTATGCCTGGCATTTCTGCCTCACCCATTGCCCCCCACATCAACCCCTACCCCCCGGTACCTTCCGGGCAGATCTTACCTGCGAGGGGCCCCAGCCAGTAAACCTGGACATAGTCCCAAAAGCTGCTCCCCGAGCAGTGGAAAGTGGTGGCCGTGGCCAGGGCAGGGTTGAAGAAGGCCCCCGTGAAGGGTCCGGCTGTGTGGTAAGAGAAGCACGCCCATCAGTTGCACTTGCAGTCTTTGAAAGACCAGCAAAGAGCTGGACCAGGAGAGCCATGACCCCTCCTGCCTCCCACAGCATGTCTGTTGTGCCCAGTGTCACTGGGACTGTGTGACAGCAATGAACAGGGAAATCCCACCCCTGTCACCTGGAGCTTTGCGGGAAGCAGAGGAGCTCAGTGCAGGACTGAGAGGTTGCGTCAGGGGATCCTGAAGCTCCCAGTCTTGGGGAAAGCTATGGCTTCTAATGTGCCGGCATCTCACTTGCTGCTGTTTTCATCCCAAAATGAATATTGCCCAAAATATGCAGAAAACAAACATCAAGGCCAGGGTGGACAGGGCTTTGAGCAGCCTGGGCTGGTGGGAGGTGTCCCTGCTCACAGCAGAGGTTGCACTGGGGGAGTTTTAAGGTCCCTTCCCACCCAAACCATGCTGTGACTCCACAATTCTAGGATCTCTAGCAATCAATTTCTCTGAAGTCCCAGAAAATGAAAAAGGGGCAGTTTCTCTCCCATAGTGTTTTTCTAAATGGCTTTTAAGAAAGGTGGGTGCTGCTTACCTGTATAGGTCAGGAAGGTGACAGTGGCAGCCAGGGCAGGGACCCGGTACATGGGGTGACTCTGTCGCAACTTGAGGAGGAGAAGGTGGAAAAGGAAAGAGCAGGTGCCTTCCGCAAAGGCAGCCTGGTGCAGAGACACGCGGATGGAGGAGCTGCACTCTGACGCTATCAAGTTCTGGATGAAGTGGAAATGTGTCAGCTCACAGGACCAGTAGAGCTTGGTGAGAGCCCAGCCCAGTCCCACGCCTGCACCCTGGGCCAGCAGCTTGGCAGCAGTGGCAGCGAGGTTGGACTCGAGGAGCAGGAACTCCTGGAGAGACACAGTCGGGTTGGAGGATGCTCCGTCGAAAGAGGCACCGTGAGCCATGAAGAGGACGAAGAGCAGAGTCAGGACAACATCTGGGCCAAAGCCACCACTCCATGGGCCGATCTCCAACAGCATCCTCAGCTCAAGGCAGCTCGTGCACAACTGTAACGAGCCAGCAAGTTCTCTGGCAAGGCAGCCGTACGCTCCAGGAGACAGAAGCCTTTTGGAAATCCACCTGAGCGCCTGGCACACCCCAACAACCAGGAAAAAAAAAGCAATGGAGACATTCAGGCCAGCCATGGCAATCCTGCGCTGGGCAGAGAGACTGGAAGGAGCAGAGAAAGCTTCTGCACCTTTTCTTTATAAGCCCACGTGTAAGCAAACGTGGCGCAGCCCAACAGGCTTGGGAAATGCCACATCTGCTGCCCTCTCCTCTGCGGGGCAATGCCTGCTGCCACAGAGTGCTGGTGGACTCACCCGCAGCTGGATCAGACCATAAGTCATTTGTCCCACCAAGCCGG